TATAAACTATAGTATATAGGTCCCTGCTATGACTTACTTTTTACGATATTGAAATTTTTGTTGTGGTCAAATTGAGGATACCCACTTATTTTGCTGAAAATAAAAAGTAAAAAAGAGAAAATATATATTTGCACACAAATAGCTGTTCACCACTAATGCCTAGGTCTCATTTAAGCCGATGGTCGGGCGACTAAATTTTTCTGGTCTTGTCGGCGAAGGAACATTCATGATCTACTGACACAAGTGTCGGGCGACACGGAGCAGTCACATTATTTCCTATGAACACTGATAAATAATGATAAATAACACCAAAAAACTTTTTTCTTTAGAAATCAGCAATATTATATTTTCATAGATCTATATTCAGATAGGCGACGTGAGTAATATTTGCAAGGCAAAGTGGCAGAATTTTATAAAATTGTGACTCAATGTTGAAAATGTGTGCAAAAATTTGTACAGAATTGAATAAAATGACAAATGTGCATATCTAAGCAGCATAAAATATTTATGATTTCTTTATATCTTTACGGATTAATAATCTATGTTATTTCCGTTCAAAAAATATATATCAATCCACGCATCATTTTTTTTTTGGTGTTATGTACAGGGTGTTTCAGAAAACATGCAACCATTTACTTTCCTCAACATATTGATATGCCAACAGGAACATTTGAAAGTGTTATATAAAATTATGCTAAAAGGGCTCAAGTTTTTATCAATATCAAGAATTTTGAAAATAATTACCATTTTAATTAATTATGACGTCATATTTAAGAACTTTCTTGCATCGGATAGATTTTTTTCTTTCAGCAAAAATGACGCCGTTTAGAGCATATTTTTTAACTAAGTGTAATTTTACAAATTTATTTTTTCTTTTGTAATTCATTTTCTATTTGCCGTATTAACTTTATTTTAATAAGAATAAATCTTGAAGTTGTGACTTTTAATTAGATATGATGGTGCATGGTATTGGTCAAAACACCAGTAAAATCTAATCAATCAAAATGGTTGCATGTTTTCTGAAACACCCTGTATCTCTAATAGGTTAAATATTCACAAGTCGGCCAATCGTTGCCCGATTATCGAGCCCTGAGCTACAGTTTGATTTTAACCGTCGGCCGAAATTTTGGACACCCTTATACTCGGACGACCTACTTAATACATTTGTAAACTGACTGCCGATGGTCAGACGATGATCAAAGGTTGGTCGACGGATAACCTCAACTGAAGAAATCAGCCACCGACGGAAAAAAATACCGGTCTAACCCCAGTCACATTTCCAAAAACGACCAACGGCCGACGGGTTTTGAAGCAAAAATGGGATTCTTCGGGTGACAGTCGTCAGTTCATTGGCCGTTGTCTTGGCCGATTTTGAACTCTTTTTTTGTCGGCCGACCAATTTTGTGTCCATCGGTCCAGGTTATAATTTTTTATGTGTCGGTGGCCGATTCCTTCAATTGAAGTTATTCGTCGACCAACCTTCGATCATCGTCCGACCATCGGCGGTCAGTTTATAAAGTCGGTTGTCCGTCTTTGGACAATAAGGGTGTTTAAAATTTCGGCCGACGCTTAAAATCAAACTGTAGCTCAGAGCTCGATGATCGGACGACGATTGGCCGACTTGTGAATTTCTAACCTAGTAAGGATACATAACACAAACAAAATTTTGATGCATGGATTGACATAAATTTTTTGAACGGAAATAACATGAATAATTAATCCTTAAGATATAAAGAAATCTTAAGTATTATGCTGCTTAGATATGCACCATTTTCATTTTTATGCAATTCCACACAAAATTTTGCACACATTTTCAATTTTGCCTTGCAAACATTACTCACGTCACCTATCTCAATATAGATCTATGAAAAAATATTGCTGAATTCTAAAGAAAAAAGATATTTTGTGTTATTTGTCCAAGTCATCGGTGTCCCTAGGAATTAATGTGACTGCTCCGTGTCGCCCGAAACTGTATCGGCCGATCATGTTCTTTCAGCCGACAAGACCAGAAAAATTTTGTCGCCCGACCATCGGCTTAAATGTGACCTAGGCATATAACTTGGAAAGATGGACAAAAAATTGGTCGGCAGACAAAAAAAAGAGGTCAAAATCGGGCAAGACAACGGCCAATGAACTGCCGACTGTCACCCGAAGAATCCCATTTTTGCTTCAAAACCCATCGGCCGTTGGTCGTTTTTGGAAATGCGACTGGGGTTTTAGTCGGAATTGGCTTTTCGTAAATGTTGGCCGACGGTGAAAATCAAGCTGCGACTTAGCGAACGATGAACGGGCAACTGTTGGCCGACTTAGAAATATTTAATTTTTGAAAATTATCGGTGTTCTTAGGAACTGTCCTGCATTGCCCGATAGAACTGTCGGGCGATCATGTTTTTCAGCCGACGATACGAGAAAAAATCGTTCGCCTGACCATCGGCTTTAATGCGACCTAGGCATTAGCCAAATAGGAAATATAAATTTTTCTACGCATGCCATTTTACTTTATTAAAAATATTGGGAATGTTCATTGAAAGATTAGTTGGCTCTTCTCTCTGTCTGTTTTAACATAGTTAATTCATGTACTTTTGGAATATATTAAAAAAACTTGGAAAAAAGAATTATAACCTATCCGCTCTCAACCATCTACGAAATAGGATTTTTGACTTTGGAGACTATTTTCTATTCCTTTCTCTTTTTTAGCTCACCTGAGCCGAAGGCTCAAGTGAGCTATTCTGATCAAAATTTGTCCGTCGTCTGTCGTTGCCGTTGTCGTTGTAAACTTTTCACATTTTCGACTTCTTCTCAAGAACCGCTGGGCCAATTTCAACCAAACTTGCTACAAAGTATCCTTGGGTAAAGGGGATTCAAGTTTGTTCAAACAAAGGGCCACGCCCTTTTTCAAGGGGAAATAATTATGAATTAGAGAAAAATTAATAGCATTTTTAAAAAATCTTCTTCTCAAGAACCACTGGGCCAGGAGAGATGAAACTCATGGGGAATCATCCTCAGGTAGTGTAAATTCAAATTTGTTCAAATCATGACCCCAGGGGATAGGGTGGGGCCAAAATGGCCGATCAAATTTTTACATAGGAATCTATAGGAAAAATCTTTAAAAATCTTCTTCTCAAGAACCACTGGGCCAGGAAAGATGAAACTCGTGTGGAATCATCCTCAGGTAGTGTATATTCAAATTTGTTCAAATCATGACCCCCGAGGATAGGGTGGGGCCAAAATGGCTGATCAAAGTTTTACATAGGAATTTATACAAAAAATCTTCAAAAAACTTCTTCTCAAGAACCACTGGGCCAGGAAAAATGAAACTCATTTGGAATTGTCCTCAGGTACTGTAGATTCAATTTTGTTCAAATCATGACCCCCGGGGGTAGGGTGGGGCCAAAATGGCCGATCAAAGTTTTACATAGGAATATATAGAAAAACATCTTCTTCTCAAGAACCATTGAGACAGGAAAGATGAAACTCCTGTGGAATCATCCCCAGGTAGTGTAGATTTAAGTTTGTTCAAATCATGACCCCCAGGGGTAGGGTGGGGCCAAATGGCCGATAAAAGTTTTACATAGGAATATATAGGGAAACCTTTCAAAATCTTCTTTTCAAGTACTTCAAAGCCATGCTTAGTGATATTTATAGGAATAATCCTCAAGTTGTGTAGATTAGTTTGTTCAAATCATGACCCCCTGGGGGGTTAAAATTTAAGCCCCTCCCCCCCACCCTCTCAGTAAACTTTCAGTTCTAAGCTGAAATATGCTTTTTCTTAGCCAATTGCTCAGGTCAGCGATGTGGCCCCTGGGCCTCTTGTTTATTTGGTTTTAGAAAGTTTTTTAAGGTATATTGCCGTTTGACAAATTGCCTTATACCCCCTCCCACTTTTTAAAAACGATACTACGTCCCTATTACATTTACATAATAAGGGACACGTGGACCACAATGCTCACCTCAGTCAATATGGCCCCGTCCTCCTTCAGCAGCCGTTTTATCATAAATGTACATATACTGTACATGTAAGATGATAATGAGTAGAACTTTGATCGCCTGTTATAGCCCCTGTCCTACCTTCAGGTCTTGTTTTGAAATAAAAAATTGTTCCTGGCTCTGCGTACTTGGTAACAATGAACCGTATAAACAGCCTTTGTAAATAGGACCTGGCTTGGGGGCCATAAAACTTAGACGAGCTCACTTTTGATCTCAGTATCACTTTTACCAAAGGAATTAATACCGGTAGTGGAAAAGTCAGACTGAGATCAAAAGTGAGATTGTCTTACACTGTAGTTTTATGGCCCACAGGCCAGATACCCAGTATTTTTCTAATTAACTTCTATCCCGACGCTGCCACCAAAATATATCTTGTTCCCCGGCGTAGGGCTCTCAGGGGATGAATTGTTCTCTTACTCTTTCTGAGTTTATGATCAAGCATTTGTCTGTGTACAGTCAATAACTTTTCACAAACCTGTCTGGGTTTTTCTATTATCGTTGATCAGAAAATATATAAAATGGGCTATATTCTATGACATGGAAACTCTTGGACTTGGCACTGTGTACCTCCAGGTTCCTATTGATAGCGGATACTTTATTCCTTATTCAGATCTACATCCCCAGTACTAAGTATCTCGCTTCAGTCCCCAAGGTCCTTTTGCATGTATTTTTCCCTTTCTTTTATTCGTTATGTTTACCAAAATTTCCCTTACTAAGTATTTTATCTCAGCATCATCTCTGTAGTCGGAAGACGCTGTAACTCTCTATACAGTCTTACTATATTCCCTATAGCCTAGTCTACTTTAAGGGAGAACATGATATTCCATTTTTAGATAACACCTGGGTCTTCTTTGCTTTTTTCAGTTTCCTCATGTCATTACAAAACTATTACGTGTACAAGTACTGTATAAAAATTATTTTCACACTATATACACTTTCATGAGCCTTTTGATTGTTCTGATATGATATACTCCTGGTATGAAATCAGATTAAAAGCAATCTGAAAGCCTATGCTATGGACGTAGACTCGTATTCATAAATCTTAAAGTTACGTACGTTGCGTTTGGTTTGTAAGAACCATTCTTACATGGAAAACTTCCAAACCGAGCGAACAGATATCCGCAGAATAAAACCAGACCCGTCAAAAGAACAATCGCTACCGTCAACCAAGCAACATTTCTAGAATCTTCCAGGAAAGTCACGTGCCGATCCGTGGTGGAGGAAGGCGTAGCAGTGGTGGATTCTGAAGTAACAATGGTCACAGAGGTCGTACCTTTCAAAAGGAGACACAGAAAAACAATTTAAAAGGACACTAACAATTCAATTCCTTAACTGAACAATTGAATTTTTCTTGTTTAATTTGTTCTAAAATAGAATTCTAAATAATATTTATGGAATCTAATTCTGCATGTACCTGCACACATTTAAATACTAGTATTTTTTTTTCATTGTTTTTCTCACTATTAGAATAAGACATTGTAATATGAGTATTATTAATTATAAAGATACGAGAATGCCTGTCACCTGCCTTGAAGTCCCCCCGAGTCCTGTACAGTAGCCGTTATTGTGACAGTTGTTCCGGAGGAAAAGGAAGTCAGGCCATTCTTTACGTAAAAGTCCCCGTTACTTTGTACACCGAAGTACTCATATCCTAAACTTGTCTGGTTTAATGTGTACGACACAGTGCATTAAAAAGCAACAATCATAATTGACAAAGTTTGAAATATCAAATCGGCTCATATTCATAGTAGAAAAATTGTTGAACACAAGCTCCCTTCATGATTTTCTAAACCTTTTTACATTAATTTTCACTCAAAGTTATTTCAGAGAAAAGGAAAATGAGAAAACCCTATCATTCTAAAAATTTAGAAAAGATAACAATGCTTTTTGAATTTCAATTTTTCATAAAAAAAATTATTAAGTATGTGTATATTTTTTTTTATTAAAAGAAAAATAAGTAACGTCAGGTGCCTGTGCAAAGCACCCATGTTTTTCACCCATATGACAGGTCAGTAGGTGCATATGATTAATAACTAACCGAATGATCCCACATCCCCATCAGTGGCTGCTATAGACCCAAGAACTGTTCCAACTCCTGTGTTAGGCTGAGTATAAAAAGTGTAGGTGGAGCTTCCGAAAGTGGGCGTGTTATCGTTGACGTCATTGATGGTAACAACCAATGACGCCGTGTCTGACAGATCTCCGTCTGTTACAGTCACAGTGCACGTGACAGTGGAGGCTGTGCCAGCTCTATCTAAATCGTAGTCATGACTAAAATGATAAAGGTAAAAATCAAATCATTGTAACATTCATTATAACACATTATGGATACGAGACAAAGGCTATACGTAAAATATAAACATATTGTCTTACCTAAAAGATATTACTCCGGTGCTTGCATTTATAAGAAACATTGAACAATCAATTGAGTAAGATAGAGTTTCGCCAGTATCAGGATCAGTGACGTCAAACGAAGGATCTCCCACTGTGGACCTCGCCTACAAAAAGAGCACAGAATGATAATTTTTTGGTTTAACATTCTGGTATGGCAAAAAAAATCTTTTCTTGCAGAAAAAACGACGTTCTACCCTTTCTTGTTAATTAGCATACAATCATGTATTAAGGATCGCCCGATATTCGCATTTATTTGATATTTATAAAACTGAATATTTCAAGACTAATTCAGTCAAAATGTGTAAAAAAAAAGTTTATACAGTATATTAACAAACAGATCGAGTATCCTTTTAAAACTACCGATCCCTCGTTGCCAAAAATAGCATAAGAAGCCTTCCCGAACACAGGAGCCTCGTTTTGGTCAGTGATGACGACACTGAGCGTGCCTGTAGCGGTAGCTTGTCCGTCGGTGGCGGTGATGATAATGACGTAAGTTGTGGCAGTGGTAGACACAGACTCGAAGTTAATGTTTTGTGTGGATGAGGTTGAAACAAGTCCAGCTACACAAAACAAAAATGAAAAATAAGGTATTTAAGGTAAAAAAAAAAAAAAAATTTATTGTTGCAAATACATACATTTTAAATAGATGGACATTTATATGACTCAATTTAGATGTGGATAATAAAACTTACTGGCAGAGTTGAGTGAGAAAAGTGTGGATCCCAGGCTATGGTTGTAAGAAGCCGCGTAGGTGTGGTTGTCAGCCGTGTTCACGTCAGACACGGAGACTTGAAATACGGACATAGAGAGAGCGGAGTTCTCCGGCACAGTGATGGGTGCCGCCAGGGGTAGGTTTGTAATCACGGGGACCGAGTTTATACCTATTAGATACGTAAGTAATATAAAGTATTAAATTAAAGATTTTATTTTTTCCAATTTTAAGAACAAGTTGCTATCGAAACAGAAATTCATCGACACCAATAATTATTTTTTTCAAGTTAAAAGATTTTATCAATATATATGAAGGAAGTTTCAAACACTGAAATGTGTATGGCTCTTATATACTATAGTAAACAAAAATAACAAGCAAATTCAAAGAATTGTGGTCCCCCGCTTTCGGTGTCTTTGTGGGTGAGATGTCATTTTTATGACATATTGTGTCTAATATGAACATCCTATCATATGTCATTTATTTTGAAATTATCACTGAAGTTGACTTAAAAAAAATAGGTAAATCGTGAAGTTCAAGGGGTAAGAAATCATAGCATGCTCAGAAATATCTTGTCACAGGTAATGCACATGTCAATATGAAAGCCATATCTCTTCTCAGTATAAGGAACAAGATGTGTTTGTGGAACACTGATGACCTCGTATGCCAACAAAACGAAGATTTTTCTTAAATGCAAATTAAATACATTATTACCCAAAGAATGGTTTTCTCACAAGAAATACAGTTGTGAAATACAAAATTCCTAGCACCACCTGTTCAAAAAGTTATGGACAAGGATAAATTTTTGAAAGGTAGGTCAAACTCCAAGGGTCTGAGTTGTTGGTATCTTGTCACAAGTAATACATATGTGAAGGCTGAAAACCCTAATCCTAACTGTTCAAAAGTTATGGCAAAGGTCAAAGTTTTTAAAAAGTAAGTCAAACTCCAATGTCAAGGTCAAAGAGTTAAAGTTCTTGGTATCCAATGAAAGGTCTTCTCACAAGGATTACATATCTGAAGTATAAAAGCCCTAGCCCTCACCATTTAAAAGTTATGGTAAAAGTTTTTATAAGTACGGAAATCTCCAAGATCAAGGTCAAAAGGTCAAAGTTTTTGATATCAAATGAAAGGTCTTGCCACAAAGAATACATATGTGAAATATGAATGTCCTAGTATCTACCGTTCAAAAGTTGTAGCCAAGGTCAAAGTTTTTGAAAAGAAGTTCAAACTCCAAGGTCAAAGGGTCAAGGTTCTTGGTATCAAATGAAAGGTCTTTTCACAAGAAGTACGTATGTGAAGTACTAAAGCCCTAACACTTATCGTTCAAAGGTTATGGCCAAGGTTAAATTTTTTTTATAAGTACGGAAATCTCCAAGGCAAAGGTCATAAGGTAAAAGTTGTTGGTATCCAATGAAAGGTCTTGCCACAAAAAATACATGTGTGAAATATGAAATTCATAGCTCCACTAAATCAAAAGTTATAGGCAAGGTTAAAGTTTGGAATTTTTGTGTAAAAGTGGGTCAAATTCCAAGGTCGAGGTCAAAAGGTCAAATTTGGTGGTACCCAATGAAAGGTCTTGTCACAAGGAATACACATGTGAAATATATGAAAGTCATAGATCCACTAAATCAAAAGTTATGGGCAAGGTTAAAGTTTTTGTGACGGATGGACAGACGAACAGAAGAATGAGATTTAATGTTCCCTCGCTTTTGCAAAAGCAGGGGACAATAATAATCAAATGAAAGGCTGATTCTGTAGAAATACCTTACCTGTAATAATCACAGTGAGTGTTCGTGGTCCTACAAGAGTTTTTCCATCACTGACATAGACGTACAAATCATACCCAGGTACTGTATGCTGAGATAAATCCGAGGTAGCCAGAATTTCTCCTGCTGTAGGGAAAAAATTCAAAGAATTGTGGTCCCCCGTTTTGGGTGTTATTTTGGGTGATATGTCATTTTTTATTATGACATTTTGTGTCTAAATATAAACGCCCTATCATAAGTCATCTATTTAGAAATTATCTGTGAACTCCAAGGTCAAGGTCAAAGTTGTTGGTATCCAATAAAAGGTCTTGCTACAAAGAATACATATGTGAAATATGAAAGTCCTTGTACCTATCATTTAAAAGTTATGACCAAAGTAAAAGTTTGGAATTTTTGTGTAAAAGTGGGTCAAACTCCAAGGTCAAGGTCAAAAGGTCAAATTTGGTGGTACCCAAAGAAAGGTCTTGTCACAAGGAAACATATGAAATATGAAAGTCATAGCTCTCATCAAAACAAAATAAAGTTTTTGACCAAGCTACTACTAATGTTTCGCTTTCGCGAAAGCGGGGGACAATAAAATTTGAACAAGCTTAAATAAGAAAAAATCCAATTTAGTCATCAAAAAGTATTTTAACAAGAGATAATCGGGACGTTTGAGGGTCATCGAAGTAAAAAGATACTTATTCATAACAAAATAGGACCAAGCTACTACTTATTTGAGACGACACTTACTAACATAAAAAAAGAGTTAAACAGTTGTTAACAATAATAAAGGATAGAGAAAAGCGTCATACCAAAGCAAACATGATGAATTTTTATTCAGTTAACAGAATTCTGACTGAAATGTGACTGAATGGCAATACTTGGCCGTTCAATCTCCTTTCATAGACCTTTCAGTCACCATTCAGTTGTTTCATCATATGAAGGTTGAAAGTCACTGTAGAGAAATGTACTTTCCAATGCAAAAAAGGGTAGCATTGTAGGAGAGTTCAGGGGGAAAATGTTAAAAAATATAGCAAAATTGTAATGCTTGAATCCAAGAATTTTTATACTAAGTGGTCCTTCAACTCGAAACGCCCAAAGCTGAAATTTCCTAAGAAGAATACCAGTTTTCATATTATAGTTAAAACATATATCATTTGCTGATAACTTTGATTTCATGAAGTTGAAAAGCAACATACAATTATGGATATTGAATGGACAACCCGTGGGGACACACGTCATGTTATAATAAAGTTGGTTTGAATCCGAATCTGTTGACGTCACTGTGTATATTACTGAACCAATGGTGATGGATGTAGCGATAGTTTGCGTGGCTGAAAAATTTGAACAATTGTTAAATGGATAATCACATTACTAGGTGTCATGTTTCTGTCATGAAAACACATTGCTACCAAATGCAAAGATTCTCATGACAGATAAACTATGTACAGAGAGCTTGTTAATATGAAGTTGTTACTTTTTTGATGATATATTGCGATGAAATTTGATTTTGAGTAGCGTCGAACCTTGAAGATTGGTAAATACTGGTGGGTTGTTCTTTGTGACGCAAACAGTAAATGTCCCCTGGGCTGTGTCTTTTGTGTCCGTACAATTTATAGTCAATACGTACTGACGCGCTGTTACGTAGGACAACGATGGTAGGGCCTGAATATAGATCCCGTAACTGTCTGTAAAAATACATTTTCTCCATGTCAGGCGACTCTAAGTAAAATACTTCTGCATGAAAATAAAAAAGAAAAACTGCTTTGACCCTGAATTGACATGGCGAATATTGACATCGTTTTATCAATTAAGAGTAGTTTCTTTGATTCCTCAATAAAATTTCATGAATGAGAAGATACATGTAACTATAAAAACAGTGATCAAGCCTAAATTTTTTTTTACTGGAACATACGTATTTGTTCAGTATTTTAGTGATCAACTTTTCGAATGTTATTCTTACTGGAACCAGACACAATCCTGGAGAAGAAGTTATCTGTGTTGGGATCAGAATTAGCTATACTGAAAGCTATAGTGTCAGTAGGAGACTCGTCTATCACATTAAGGGTATGTTGAAGCTGCTCATCAGCCTGCTCCTATGTAATGACCGCTGTAGCCGGCAAATTAACTATAACAGGTTCCTGTAAATCACAGTTTTGTTTTAATATGTTACCAAGTTATACTGGTGTATTGCTTCTGTTTTTTAACATTGCTCTCGTCTTGAATAATCATTATCTGAGCTATTTACTACAAATTATCTAGTACATGTACTAGAAGACTGTTTGATAAATTAGATTTGCTCATCATACACTGTTGGTGACGGATATTGTTAAGGTCCCTGTGTCTGTTTGTCCGCAGTCGTCAGTTACTGTAAACGTCAGAGGATTATCTCCATATGGCAGTGTTCCCGTATTTTTGACCTCTCCTAAAAAAATGATGTAAACGTCAATTGATGGACAAATGGAAGAATGGACGATTTCGTGAGTTAGATGTACAACAGAAAACTAGAAACTGCGCGATACCCGCGATTGCTGTCTGAAATTTAAATGCTAGTTGTTATCTTATGGTTTTCAAATGACGTTGCCTTACCACTTGTGGTATTAAAGGAGAACGGTGACGTTGCTGTTGTCGTGGCAACAGTTAAGATATCGAAAAGGTCATCATCACGCCATGTCACGGTAAACATCAGAGTGTTGATGGTAGTACTATCCGGAAAAGTGACAGTAGCATTCAGGTTAGAGAGTGATGGTATATTACCTAATGTATAAAAGAAATCATATAATTTTTCCCATTTATGAATTTAGTTTCGCTAAATACAACCTAACTGATTGGAGGACTAAGGGTCGAAAGTCAAGTTCATCAATTCATATTTTGCACAAGTAATTTAGATGATGCCCCAAGTTCTCTTCGTAATGAAATGTATACCAAATTTCTTTATTATACTTTCATGTTAAATATTAAAATCTGATTGGTTTAGACGCAGTTAACAATCCGTTCTATTACCCTCAGCCTTAGCAACAAACGTGACAACGGGTAACAACGGTAATGTCAAATGCGTGCATATCTTGCGCGTACGGTTCACCATAGAAATTCTCAACACGTCAGTTTGAAAGAAACCGAATAAACGACGTCAATAAAGCTTGCGTCCGATGTAGCTTACTTGAAAATAAAAAATGACAGAAGAAACATGCTTGCGAGTGCAGAAATAACGAAAATTTAGGATTTTCTGAGAATCAAACAAATAAATAATAGGTCGGTAAAGCTTTTTCGAAGCTTTCTTATGAATAAAATAGAAGCGGGGAGTTTGAAGCCTTTCTAAATGTGAACGTAAAGACGATCGTCGATTTTTTTTCCGACATCCTAAATCAATAAGACATGCAGTATAATAAAATGAATGGTGCCGTTTTGGAGGGTAACAGTTGAAATTGACAACCCCGGAAAACAATTGTTCTTGGGGGTGTCAATTTCAACTGTTACCCTCCAAAACAGGCACCATTTATATAGTATTCCTCAAAAGAAAATTTTTACTGATTTTGAGGTCTTGGTCAGCACTTTAAACATTGCATTCAATGGATTCCAGACAGGAACAATTATAATTTGTTTTGAGCTTTTGTAATGTAGAATTCCCTTTCACTTATAGGAGACCACTGACCAGAAGTGTTTGTTCGTTGCAGTATGGTCGAGATCTCCAACTGATTTTATTGACTTTAAAGAATTATTCCAAAGTTAAAAATATTAGCCCCTTCCTGAAACCTGAAAAAAGGATGTTTTTTTTTATCCCCAGTAATTTAATTTTATAATTCCTTTTTAAATATTTTTGTGCCCATATTTACACTTATAAAGACGTCACTACGGGTCATGAAATAACATAAGCACTAGCTAACGGACAATAGGAAGGAGAAAATAACTTCATATATACAGCTAATTGTTTAGGAAAGATTCATCACAAGAATTGTTTTAAAGTATCAAGTACTAAGCTTAAAGTATAAAACGTATAAAGTATAAAATACTTTCCCTGAATCAGCTGTGCGTTGATAGCATACTCTTTCTTGGTAACCGGGGTTTCCGCTCCCCAGTTGTACGTGCTGCTCACTGTCTGGTTTCCTATAGTGGTAGAGTAAGTACTTCCAATGGATCCCCCTCCCTCTATCTTGTAAGAGATCATAGGTTCTCCATCTGTATAACTGAAACGGAAAGATTCAGGTTAAAGTATCATGGTCTAAGTATGTTTTTCAGAACATGCATAGTCGGGTTATTAACTCAGTCTTACTGATAAACGAATAAATATTTTACTGAAGGTATTAAATTGCTATATATTTCTATCTCTAATTTTTTCTCTGTGATAACTCTTTGAAAGTTAGAGGATTTCTTGATAATTCTACTGGAATGTAAATTAGGCAGGTCAATAGGTCAGGAGCTAAGGATCCCTGATATGCATGCAAATCTCGTGCACATCTGTCTCTGACGCTAAGGAGGTCAAATATGCATGTAAATCTTGTGCAGCTGCCATTGTGTTTGACGTCAGTGGCCGAGGACTATTAAAATTGGCATGGGAGTCCTCGTGTAATCTAAATTTATGGCTACATTTTTAAAATCTATGTCTACAATGTATTTCACAATGAAATGGAAATAACGAATTACTTTCTAGTTAGTATAGTATACCAGGGACATCAACGATAGTGGGAAACATGGGATAATTTATGCCTAACAGGCTTCGCCCGTTATGCAAATTATCCCAGTTTTCCCACTATCGTTGATGCCCTGGCATACTATACTAGCTAGACAGTGCTTCCTTAAATCAGTGATTAGCAAAATAAACATAAATTTCCCTTTCAGATGAAAAGAACTAAAATATATAAATATTTGTATTCTACTGCTTCTAGATTTCTTTGATCAGTGAAAATCGTAGGAGTTGTTTGTAGCCGGATAGAACGAAATTGATACTGTTTCCAGTATTCGAATATAGATTGAACCAGGGACCTTAGAATTAGATACTTGTGTTCGGACATTGAGTTTATGACAGAGCTAAATAACAGAAATAAGATTTATAGGCAAGTATACATGGCGTTTACATAGAGGAATAAATATCTGTAATCTCCTTAGAGTCTAAGATATACTTCTAGGCTAATATTAAAAATCGTTGGTTCCCACTCTTTAAAGCTAAACTTTGGGTCGACTTAACAGAACAATAAAATAATTTTTGTAATAATAAATATTTCAATTTTTTAAAATTCTAAACTAGAGCTCTACAGAGCTTACAATCCGATGTAGTCGCCTTCCTTCACAGCGATCCCCTCGTTTGTTGGGACCGTGTACGGAAATTCTTTATCTACGTCTCCAGCTGTAAATCAAAATAGATTTTTAAACAGAAAATTCAGTCAATATCAAGTTAAGTATTTGGGGAAGTACACCTTGAAGTGTATACTAGATAAAAACTTTTTTTTTGCATCTTGTATGCATGTGTATTCTCTGATATAGTATTCTGATTCATGAATTCCATTTAATGTTCAGGAAAGCATCTTTGAGAATCATATGAACGACGAAACAGCTTCTTGATTCCAAATCTTAAAGATTTATTTAAATATACAAATATAAACTACATACCTGCCACAGTGTAACTGTTCTCCCCCATCAGCTTAAACTGCCCTCCCCCCTCAGGCCGCCATATCTGAAGCTTTACTATCCCTGGATTTGTCTTGACGTAAAACTCCCACGCGGACACTACTCCACAACAAGTGATCATGTATTTATTGTCATTCAACAGAATTCCTAATCCTAAAACAGTATAGCAACGTATTAAACCTAAACCTAAAAGCAGTATAGTAACGTAAACCTAAACTTAAAAACAGTTTAGCAACGTATACCTAAACCTAAAAACAGCACAGCAACGTAAACCTAAACCTAAAAACAGCACAGCAACGTAAACCTAAACCTAAAAACAGCACAGCAACGTAAACCTAAACCTAAAAACAGTACAGCAACGTAAACCTAAACCTAAAAACAGTATAGCAACGTAAACCTAAACCTAAAAACAGTATAGCAACGTAAACCTAAACCTAAAAACAGTACAGCAACGTAAACCTAAACCTAAAAACAGCACAGCAACGTAAACCTAAACCTAAAAACACACTGACTAAAATAAACATGAAAAATTTAGTATGTCGGATTTTGAAGGATCGATTTGAAAACAGAAAGAGATACTAAACACTGCTTGATCAATGTAAACCTAAATGTTTGCATGCTAAGTGATGTACTTTAAATATCGCTTTTTAATGCAATTCATAGAACCAAATTAATCCACGATATAATTAAAAAAAAATTAATATCGATATCTAATATAATACAATGAACCATTAAAATTCACGATATAATTTGATATACATATACTTTTAATGCCGGTATCACTATCAAATGTAATACAAAGAAGCATAAAAATCCACGAAATAATTTGATATACTTTTAATATCACAATCTACATGTAATACGATACAAAAAATCATAAAAATCCACAATATGAATTGATCTACTTTTAACATCACTTTCTAATACATATAAAGAACAATAAAAATCCATGATATGATTTTATATACTTTTGATATCATTATTTAATACAAAACAAAGAAGCATAAAAATCCACGATAAAATGTTTAAAACACATTAAAAGCAAATTTAATAAACCAATAAGATTTAAGATGTATACAGCTCAACGCACTTTCTAAGCTCACATGGTTTTTGCACTAATAAAGGTCACATTCTTTTTGCAAACAAATGAACAATATCGACCTTTAATACGAGACATAGACCTAAAAAGTATTTAATATCTCATTTTAAAGGTACATATTCTTTAAATTCATAATCTTAAACTTTTAAAGTCGATGTTTTAAATGGGACTTCATTGATAATGGTATGATGTTACATCTGTATGATTTCACCATGGGTATTTACAAATTAAAATTGTCCAGCTTTCTTTGACACTATTTAGTTGAAAATTTTAAATTGTCATCTTAAAGATGAGTATTTTTTTAAGTACTTTGCTCCTTTTCTATACTTTTCGTGGATTTGTCGAAATGTAGCGCCGAAAAATGACAATGCTGCATAATGCAATCATGCCAAAAACCGGATAAAAAAGTATTGTTCATCTTTTAAATTTGTACATTTAACCATTAAAAAGAAAATTCTTTTACATTTACGGTCTGAAACTTTGCGAATTTTGCGGTCGGATGTATCTTTCACGATGCTAAATTCAGAAAGTAACCCTAAAAATGCCAGCTTTTTAACATAAAAAGCAGTCGAACAAATGAAAAACACTATTATGATCTTGCGTTTTATAGGTCATGTTATTGTACAGAAATACAAAAGTTACATGATTTACACTGTTTTTGAGTCAATACAAGGCAAAGAACTGCATTAAAAAGAACGG